AACGGTAAATTATGGATGACAGTCATTGGTGAGTTTCATATATGTGCCACATACTCTGCGCACATACCACCATGGAATACCTCGATTCCGTCGAGAGAAAACAAGTTCTGATTCATCGTCCCGATCATTCGGAAGCACTTTTGTTTTACACCAAACGGCATGAAGGACGTAGACTGCGTGTTTGAAGACTATAAACGACGTTGCTATCGTGAAAAACGCTAGCTACACACGCGGCCAAACCTGAATGTGGCAGCCGCAACATGGCACAACTTTTCTTGGGTATTCTACAGGGACCCTTCTTTTCACAGACCTCCAATCACGAAATGTACCCGAAGATGAAAAGCCCATGGTGTTTCAAAATCTTCTTTCGTGGAAATTCTCCTTACCAGCAATAACCAAGCAGGAAACACTTTATATTCGTTAATAAGTTGCCTTCCACCGCAGTGTTGTTGGCTCACATTGTTCGATTGGCGAACGAAACAACTGCCCAGCACACCTTCGTGTAGCAATGCTTTCGATGTCACAGTACCAGGTTTTAGTTCCCTCATGTTATAGAACAGTGAAAAATGACGTCACCCATCTTCACTGCTGCTCACGCAAACCGCACATCTTGAAAAAATTATTTACCCCTAATTAATCGGAAAATGTTTGGGACCAATTAGTTATCTTTTCAGAGACTGTGCCGTATTTCAAATGGAAGGACCTACTAAGTTACTGATACCCGTAAAAGGAACTTTTCCGTGGAAATTGCTGAAAGAGGCTGCAAAATTGACTTTGGACCTGAGATGTGCACAAGTCACAGCTGGTGGGGGCGATCTGTGAAAAAATCCAGCGCGAGCGAAATAGCACGCGTACTACAGAGGACTTCGACTAGCATTTCCGTGTGCTTTCCATACGACTCAGAGGACCGATCGGCTGATTCTTCGTTTCCTACCAGACAGAAATCCCATAACCCACCAATTACGATGTGCAGAGATGGGAAGTTCCAAGAAGTTACTTGTTTTTTGTGATGCACTACTCATAAGGTTGCTGAAAACTCCTCGACAGCCTCTGCAAACGAACTTAGTTTTTCGAGAGACTCAGCAACCTTATGAGTAGTGCGTTACAGAAATACATATGTATTGCGATATCCCGAATATCGTAGCGACTGAAACATGAGGCGGACTGGTGCAGCACATTTAGTTGCCTGGAAACATCAAAACCGAGAGATTTAGCCGGGTTCCAGGTGAGTCTGTTGAAAAACCAAATTGGTTTGCAAATGAGTGTATATACCCTAATTACTTAGACTTTGTTTTCTTTTGTTGTAAGTTTCGGGGGAGAGCCAGCTCCATTACTCATAAGTGAGCGACCAGGCTTTTTCGAAAATTTCTGGATGAATAGCGAAGGCAGTCAACAGCCCTTATGACCAGATACACCCTTAAGCGCTGGACCACACGATGGAGCAGTCCATCTAGAACGAAAGATGCCAGAGCACTGATGGGCAACTGCGGTACCCACAAATCTGCAAGCAGCCCATATAAACCAGCTGCCTCACTCACCCTCAGTTCAACAGCTGACTTAATTACGCGGGGAATTTGCCCAGACATCAAATGAACCTCAAAGAATGCATGTGCTGCACACCAAAAGGGTGTTGCAGGCCCTCGATTACTACTACATCATTGTCAGCTAAAGTAATGCGCGCTGTGCGGACGAATAAATCCGGTTATTTATCATGATAGTGCGAGCACCGCTGACTCATCTAACTCTATCTGATGGTCATCGCTTCCGACTAAGCAGGGCTCTACGTCAAGAAAATGGCAACCTTTCACTGATGCGAGTCTCGACTAAGTCCATAGTTGGACTACAAAAAAAACTAATGCAACAACCACGGTGTATGGACGTAGGGGCCGGTGCGATAAACGTGCCATGTGACAGAATAGTTAGTTGATCGCGTTCTCATCCGCGACATCAATTCTTGCTTCACTTATCATGACGATGTCTTCGAGATTGTGGAGACATTCAAATGAACCCATTGAAGCCTATGGGTACAGCGAAACAGTAGCACCGAAACGGCTATACAGCGACTACTTATTTTTTTTACCTCCACACCGTCGTAGTTAGGATGAATTGTGGCAGCTCCACTAAGTACATAAATTACTCGTTCGCCTGCACTGTTACGCAGCCTTGCACAGCACCATGCTACTCAAGTGGTCTACGTGTCTGTACTAGACCCTAAATAAGTAGCTGCTCTCGTCGCAAGTAACGCATGTACTGCTTACTTCCCCACTTCGGTCTGACGCCATGACGCGTGTGCTATTCGAGGGACAACCCTTTCCCATCCTACCGAAATTCATATGGTAAGCGCCAGGGACAGTGAAACACAATGCTCAAGTCAATGCTTTCAGACGTTCCTAAACAATTCTTAGGCATTAATTTTTAGTCTTCCTGACAGACCCCTGGAGATTTTACCTTATCCATCAATTGTATCCGTACTTAGCATTGACTCGCCTAAACGAGCCGGGCGAAAGGTGCGCTCCTCTCCACATGGCACAGGACCTTAGTAATGCACCACTGGGAGTCCCCAGCCAAGTGGGGACAGGAAGTAAACAGGGTGACTGCATCCATATGGGCGAATGGATTCGACATCTACCACAAATGGTGATACTTGTCACTCGAAACCCACCGAACAATGGTAGCAGAATACGAGCTCCCACTAGGGGATTGCTATTTCTGATTGACTCTTCTTACAAACTTGCCCCAAAGCATTTAGCTGTTGCAAAAGTAGAAACCAAGGGAGCCAAATCACCAGACGACCTGGTACGACAAATAATGACCAACCCTTACAGCACGTACTCTCCGAGCTATTGGAACTGACCAGTGCTTCGCATGGAATATATTGCTCCCGTATATTCGCCAGTACGTCATCCACCTCGCTCCAAGGCGCCTACACTGCCTACGACAGCCATCCAGTCTGGACTTGGAGCAAACGACCAGCGTAGAGAACGCTCTGAACCATTTATAGCGGAGAATTCCACCTCAGTCTAACAATACTTCGGTGTCTGTGGGTGGCCCTTCTGCTTCCCGTATGCGGTTCCAAAAATCAGTCAACTCTAACACGCTCACGCGACTCGGACAAATGCCATCAATCCATGACCCCAATATGCTCTTCCCAACCATGGGATTCAACGTTGAGTCACACTGCCAACCCGGACCAGTCTGAGCTTGCAATCCGCAAATGTCGTTTATGCCGATCAAACCCTGGCACGACGACAAGTGGCATGAAAAAGTGAGCGCGGCCGGACCCCGCATTTACCGGCTGAATGCACTCCGTGACAGCCGAACTATCAAGCCGTGACCGATTCCCCAAGTCCCTCACGAAAGCATGGAATATGGAATTCGACCAGCTTATACGATCCAGGTTAAGTGGCCAGGGTATTCAAAATCGCGCACCCCTCGGTCAGGGACATAACCAATCGATCTCACGTTGTTCGGCCAATTGGCAATCTCGATCCAACGGACTACATCGATCCCGACTGGAGGGGCACTAGGATGGCTGCCGCCCGGGGAGATCCACGTATGTCACTATGGCATTTCACTGATCCGGCAAATCGTACAGGAATAAGATACTCCACCCAGACACCGTCGGTGGGTGTTTTTTGGCTCCACCGTGACTTAACACTTTCGATCAGCGCGGCTCACCTGCACGTACAACTGACTTGGACCTATCGCCCGATGACGCACTGCGTAACTACACAAATACTCATATTGCCCCGAGAGTCCTTCACTCGCTGGAATTTAATCCCAAAAACGCACCCGCCCACTGAGTTCAGGTTCACTTTGTGACGACTGTGGAGAGGCGCGCTGAGGGGACGTCCTTCAACGCCCGCGGTTCATACACACTAACACCTGAGTGTGCGCAACGAACACTTATTGGTCAGCAAAAGTCCCGACAGATTAAGCCAACCTACGCCCGATATCTTCTCGAATGGCTAGCGGACTTAGTGATCCTGTCACCTAACTGAGAATATGGCAAGTCCACGCGGTTCGGCCCGCCCCATTCTAGGATATGTTCTATTCAGCATCACGTCATAATGCCATCGGGTACTTCTGCACCAAACATGCATCCCAGGCCATGTTTATCCTTCCAGTCGACCTGAGAACAGGAATCTGGTAACTACCCATACAGAACCGTCCTAATCGGGTTCCACAAGAAACACTAGTCTCACCCAGCTACGACCGTGAACACGTTAGATCTACACTCACCGTACCGTGTAACCTACGTATTCAAGGTGATCACCTGCATCCTAAAGATGCAAAGTGGGCAACACTGCACGTCGTTAGCAGTATCTAGTCAAATAACATCTTTTGGCTATCAGACGCCACTGCAAGAAAAGAGGAAATTTCGCACATTCCAGGATACTCGGCAAGAACGCAACCCCCTGGAAGCACCCCAGCCGCTGAAACAGAACCCGACCGGACCGACAATGCGCAACTAGCTATCCTCACACGAGTACTGAGCTGCACCCGGAATACGCGTCGAGGTGAACTAGTGCATGTAACCCACATCCTATGTATAAAAAAGCAGACGGGTTACTCGTCCGCAGACGGTCATATTGCGAGCGACACAATAGCAAGTTTGGCGTATATCTTTGCGTGCGGACTAGTTGCCGGTGGGCGCACCTCACCTCAGAGCAAACAACACCAGATAGCAGTTTCCCAACGGATGCCACGCTAACGGACCGACACGCTACCAAACAATAAGTGCTGACCCAAAATCGACAATTCCCCTGCAACAAGACAAGTGTGAAAATACACCGCGGGGCGTTCATTCTATGACGCAGCTAGCGTTTACACCTCTAACACTATATCGGAAGCCTCCTAAGTTGCCCGACCGCTACAAGAGCGACGAATTCGGAAGAAAAAAGCGGGAGACCGCAGAAGAGTGATTTTGACTCAAAATCCTCCTAAGGACTACAACTCTCCTACTGCCTTAATAAAACCAAAAACGCTGGTTACCATACCTGGAAGAGTCGCTCAGTGTTCTAACCTGCCGGCGGTGCGCCTGGACCTCGTCCACCATAACTGAAAGACGGAAAGTTGCAGAAATACATGATCGGCTTTTTGCATGAAGACCAATCACACATGACGGAAAACCTCATCGCAGCCACGAAAAACCCTTCTAAACACAAGATCTAACCCACTAGGCCGATATAAAAACGATTAAATTGTCACTCAGAAACACAGACACTCGTCCCTGATCCCATAAATACCACTAAACCGAGAGCGCCACACACCCGCACAACACACGACCGCATCGCAGGCAGACAAGCGGTAAACTAACCTGGAGGAGGTTGCCGATCCGTAGGACGTTAAACCAAGATGGCCGTCGAAAATTCTTCACGCTGATTGGTCCACAGTCGCCACCTATGTATGTTGATTCATTTGAAAAAAGCTGGTCAAATCCAAGTCTGCTTGGGTAGAAAGGTCTACAATCCTAATAGAAACGTAGAGAAGAGGCCTCATTTCAATCGAGCCGGTACTATCTCGAATAAGTACCTGGTTTCTTGAAGTGTCGCGTGTTGAAGCTCTCATAGCCGAAAGTTCAAGCGCTCCATTTGAACGCACAGAAACTGAGCCCACTATACGATTTGCATGCTCCAAAACAGAAACCTCAGGAGATGCATATTAAAGCGGCTGAATCAGGCAAGTACTGATAAGCCCGATATCGTCTGAATGTAGTTAGCCTGTGGACACACTGATGTAACTTGAAGTTACTGGGTGTCCGAGCCGGGACTGATTTTTAATAGTTAGGGCTCCGGCGTGAAAGTAGGCGCACAACTTCCATGTATCGTGATTTTTTGCGCTATCTGTGTAATCTTAAGTTGGATAAACGAGCTGAATAGGCGCTTAGTATTCGCACAATGGAATTGACTTATCGAAAGCTATGACCTGTCCCTGATAGACCGAAGCAATCGGGTAATCGAGTTCAGAGTACCAGTCCACAAGTTCGAGCCCCATTTAGGCATCCCGGGGTATCAACGATGCTGGGAAATTATTCCATCAGACTTTTCTGCCAGAGGTATAATTGCTTCAGTGGACAATTATGAGCTGTAAAAACGTGAGTAAGATTGGGATGGTTTTCGGTTTGAGCACATACGCAAGAAAAAGCAACGCTTTGGCGCGATGAATTTTGCTCCACTGGTAAAGGTTTTTGCACCTAAGCGAAGTGTGCGGCTAATGGGCACCCTGCTGAATCCACTTGATCGCTTTCTGTTCAATAAGGGCGCACGCTACCTCTCCGGGTCTTTTCTCACGCCTGGTCATTGATGGGTTGTAACACTTCACTCAGTGTTGATACTACTGGAAATGAACTCGAGTTAAAAGATTTAGTATGCGCAACTGCCAGGTCTCGGTGCTCCTGATAAAGACTGCAAACTCAATGGGCAATGATACAACCACCCTCTCTTATGATTCTCCTATACGAGGCGTGACAATCCTGTCAAACACGCCTATAAGGCCATGGATATTGAGCAAACAACTTACACTACTGTGTCTGTCGACAGATCATTGAAAACCAAATATTTCCGTGTGTTGTTACTTACACGTGGCTAAAACTATGATGTGTGGCAGTGGTCAATTCAACTGCCTTAACCATACACGGCATGAACACATTCACATCCTAGACTGCTCTTGTCGGCTGCTATATTTTTTCTCTAGCCGTGGAGATATTTCAAAACGAGCTCTGTATAACAAAATGAACATTGTGGATGAATATGACGGCTTTAAGGCTAGAGTGCCCCTGTCCATTACAGAAACCTTCGACTTAAGCAGGAAATGCAAAGGCCGTGAGGTATCAGTGAATCGACACTGCTCCTAAGTTAGATAGCTGCACCGCAAATATATTGTGAGTGTTGGCGAAATGTGACTGCATTGCTCCGCATATCTGTCATGAAGGTTTGCCTAAGACCAATGAACCTGATTTCCGTCTTTTAGGGACATTCCCTCGCAATAGCGCACGCGCATATAGGAACCGTATTGATTCCCCCTGTGAATCAACGGTGAACAAGGGTAACTTACCCTGTTTTCTGGCTACTCATGAGTAACATGACTTACACTCGTTTATTATGACACCGTTTCGTTTGCGTGCTGCTCGGTTTCCCCCGTTTCGTTCCTACTTAAGGTCTGCTTATTCCTTAGTAACTGATGGCAATATTTTGTTGCCCATCCGTCATTGCCTGCAAGTTCGTCTTGATTGCACCTATTTTCGAGCACACACTCCGGTGGAAAAGCGGGCTGACCGGGTATCGAGCCCGGAGGAGGGGCGGCTTATTATTTTGTTATAGCCATGTTTCGCGCCTGTCAGATAGCCCTTGCTGAGCTTTGTTTGAAACGGACGAAGGCGCGCGATCTGACCTGTCACGCGACACGAGCGGCTGCGTCGACGCCGACCGAAAGACTACCCATGCTGAGCCGTTACGGCCAACTCACACTGTCAGTCTGCCCCTATATGTAGGCCTGTTCATCGTTTGGTACTTACTTGCTGTTACCCCTATAGAAGCCTGTGCTGCGTCAGTGACTACTTCCCGCTCCTGCTGATTGCGTCATTGTTGATTGTACGTTTGTTTAATTCATGATGCTTACTAATCCGTTTGTCTGTGGAACCAGTTCCTGTCAGTCCTCAATATATTATCTGCTGCCCCAAGTCTGTCTGCTCTCATTGACTACTGGCTACGAACTACTTATAGTCTAATAGTCGAAATCGTACTGTGAGATCCATAACCGTCCGGATCTTACAAACGGGATAAACGGCTGTACTTTCTATACTGCTTTGCGTAGAGCTACTGTTGTGGACCATAGTTTTCTTGATGCCTTCTTAATGTCGTGAACCCTAGTCTGGATAGGTGCTCGATAACTCGATGCGCTTAGCCAATCCAGATGGCCAATAGACGTGCAAACTAGCTGATCTATTAAAGATTGACATCTACAGGTGTCATGTGCAACCGAAAACGGGCTGCTTATAAAGCTCACGTGGAAAGTTGTGGGCGGGTCAAAAAGTGATACTAAAAACAGAGCCCATCCTTCAAGGGCAAATGAAGAACAACCAGTTTAATCTTTGTTAACAAAAGCGGCCATTCCATTATTAGTTGTGTCGTCCAGTCACGTTTAGAGCTGGTTCACCTAATAGCTCCCATCAAAAACTTGGGGAAGATATGATTCAGTAGGATACCATGTTTTTGTAGACCGCATCCGGTGGAGCCGTCTGTAGGACAGGACAGAACATGGTCCCAACAACTGCAGTGCATATTCGTCTCCTGTGGTGAGCGCTTAAGTGGGTAAGAAACATACTACACATAATTTTCGAAATGCGACAGGCATATATTTTGATCTTTGTGTGAGTGGTGAGCGTATGGTGTCAATCCATCCCGCGGCTATTCTGCGTGCCTAAAGAATTTGGCCTCCAGATTGAGATGATGCCACGGCATCCTGAGGTGGGTGAGGTAATTTATTAGTGTTTAAGTGAGGATGGCGATAACACGATTTAGAAGGGGTAGGCACTAATAAGAGTTTTTAACTGTGATTGACAGTTGCTTACATGAGCGATTTGTAGCACGTTTTAAATAAGAAGCAATAAAAAATGTGGAGCAAGTCAAAAAGGAACTTATCGTATGCTAGAATCCCTTAGTGAAAGTCTGGACGGCGGGAACGTGCTTTCTGCGCAGCTTGGCTGCTACACATGTTCCGTGGTTGTCCGTGGACTTGGAGTGTTTGGCTGGCTCCTTGCTCCATGCGCGCGCGAGTCTGTGTCCTGACTGGGTTCGGTTTCCCTTTATGTAGGTCCCAGTGCGTGTACGTGGGAGCGTCGGCAAATAAGTAGTTGCTAGGCTGACTAAGCGGTGCAGACAATCAATGTCCGATGAGTCAGCTTAATGTGACGTGTTTGTGAGTATGAGAGAAAGACAAACGTCATGATCTAGTGAGCGACTGTGAGTTGAACAGTCAAGTGTGTGGGTGACTGGGTTGCTACAAATTAAGTGTTACAGCTGCCCAAACCAACACCTGGCTGCTCCGGGGGTTGACGGGGACTTCGTGGATATCAGCTCTGACTCCGAGAACGAGCACATTTGGCAGACATTTTGAAATTTCAGTGGCCAATAGTGTTTGTGCCTGAAAAGTCACTGAGGCAGCTTTCCATTCAACAAAGTCAAATTTTTCGGGGTTTCCCCGGGTTTTGTTAATAACAAACAGAACAGCGGATTATCACAACGATGCTCAATATTGTGTAAATACTTATTGTCTTGGTAACGACTGTACAAAGTTTGGGCGTAACCATGATCAGTTGGTTGCTTTCTTTGCAGGGCAGTAAAAGTTGTTTCGTTCAATTACTTCGTACGCAAGTCTGATGATTTCTATAGGTATTAGCCCAGAAATCCCGAGTCGATGATCATAACTCTTCAGCGCTAGTGGGAACTGCATTGCACACAGGTAAGCTTTAGTTCACCGTCACGTATCATTCAATTTTTGGCGACCCGTGCGCTATGGAGGGTACGTGTGTACTCTTGGGAAAGGAAACGAAAAAAGAACTTGGCTAAATGATAAAAAATTACCATTTCTTGCGGAACAATTCTGCAAATTTTGTGCTTTCTAACTGGGCAAGGATTAGTGCCATCCCCTTTTCCTGCCTAATAATCTAATTTTTACTCACAAAATTACTTGTTATAAATGGCCGGGTGAGTATGCTTGAAAAATACCGTCGCTGGCGATATTAGCGTGGATAATGAAATTATTCGGCTAAATCGATCCCTCAAAAGAGCCGACTTGCCATGTATGCGGACCTGTAAGTAATCACATCCCAAAATGAATGTGTTAAACTGAATTTTAATGTCGGTTGGACGACCAACAAGGAGGTATTCCTGGGGCCTGAAATTTACCGTGTTCATTTACGTGATCTCCTAGCTCTTTTGTGTAACGTGTGCTGTCCGGCAGCCTGTAGAGGCCATGACTTTTGGCGTCCTTGGAGCTAATGACTGAGCTTTAGTTAATTCGTTTTTTGTAGTACGCCTTAATGCATACATTGCGGAATGTAAACGACATTCTTTTATGTCGCTTGTGAATTAACCGTGTACATCGTTCATCTTTCAGGAGCACACTCTAGCTAAGAAGATCGACCATGATATATCATTTAACTTTATCGGTAGCATTATATGGAACCAGGACTGAGAAGCCGTAGGCTTTGAGCACTGGTGACATTCGCAGCAAAACCTTTGGTTGTAGAGGGTTGTAAGTACCGGTTCATGGATCCTTTGAGTTTGTAAGGCT